ATTCTTTGATACCGAACGTTTTAGGTAATTTTGGTAGGGGCATAGGTAGGAAAGAAAGCGAATCAATAAATCAAATTGATGTATCCTTAACTTTGATCAAAATTAATTTTCCGCCCCTAGAAACAACTTCCGGAATAACACTGTACATGATGAAGTAACAATCATACCTTTGAAAATTATATATCAGGCACACAGTTCCGAAAGTTGGAAGTTAAATTTAAATTGAGTAGATTAAACGGGTCAAAATAATATTTAAAACATATTCAAGAATTTTATTAAGCAAAGGCAAAATTTCAATAACTCTCACATCATCTAAACTTATTAATGTAATCAAGTGGTCACTCACTATCATGTTAAATTCTTTATTGAATTTATCATTCAATTTCCAAATAACACATAGCTCTCTTATGTCCATGTCATTGAAATCCTTTTCATTGTCCTCGTTGCTATCCCCTGATTCAGTATCTCGCATTCTCAGAGTACTGCAATCAGGCTGAAAATCAAGGGAAAAAAATTAAATACAATATCAATAAATTTTTAAAATCATGACAAATTAGGCAAATCAGAAACTTAACTTACCAATTTGTTAGCACGTTTCCCAGATCCGTATTGAACTGTAACGTTTTCATCGTCATGGTAGTTTTCTTCGTCTTCCTGTTCACCTTCATACATCACTCATGCTCACCTAGGCCATGCTGCCGCCTCGCGCTGTTATTATCATCTTCGATTTTTACGTCTTCCTCTTCATCATCTTAAAACATCATTTTCTTATGTTTACCTTGGCCGTGCTGTCGTCTCGCGTTGGAATTATGTTCTTTATTTATTAATTTACTATGCTTTCCTAAACCTAAACGTCCATGTCTCTGAATTTCAAATACAGCCTGTTCACATGCAATGTGTATGTTATTACAGTATCAGTATCATTGTCTTCCTCTTCTTCATGAAGATCGTTCAAAAAGTCAAACTGAAATAACATTAAAAAAAATTATACAAAAAAGCATTTGATTTGAAGTTTTAAAGTCAAACTCCGAATATTAAAAAACTGGGGGAATAAGGTGTAAAAATGGGCAGTTATGCCCTCATTCACCGTTCCCCAGTTTTTCGTCAAACAACTTTTTTCTGTTTTAGAAAAATCAGTTCTACAACATATCAAACCATTTTTTTCCTCCGGAGTCCGACTTTAAAGGCAAAAAAAAAAAAAAAAATTACAACAATGTGTTACTTACCAATTCAACTTTATAAAATTTGATATCTAACTGTTCTTCTACAGCTTCTTCATTTAATCTTATCAAATCGGCTGTAAAATTAAACTGAAAAAAATAAAAACATTCTATTCAGTATTCAGAATAATTCTAACACGAAACAAAAACAAAATTAAAAAGGAAATGAGAACTATTTGATAACTTACCAGTTCATTCACATCATTCGCCATCTGTAACAGAAAAACCCCGTTAACATCGAGATCCCAGTTAGAAAGGTCTTGTTCATCAGAAAAATTTCTGTTTATCATCTTCGAGGATAGGTGTTCGTAAAGTAAACACTAAATTTTATGTAGTTGAAACTAATTTTATGTTCTTAGTCTAAATTTCTTCTAAATATATACACTACAGGAAAGGCATTACATGACGTTAGAAGCGGGTAGTTCAAACCATAGAGACACCAGCGGTCACTGATACATCTGAACCAATAGAAATCGCTCTTTACATGAGCCAATAGAAATCGTCCATTCAACAATACGTCACCACATTACATTCACCCGGGCAATTCAAGTCAGGCTCCGGAGGAAAAAAAAATTTTGATATGTTGTAGCACTGATTTTTTTTAAGACAGAAAAAAGTTTTCTGACAAAAAAATGGGGAACGGTGAATGAGATACACATTTTTTAATATTTAAAAACTGGGGGAAAAGGGGCGTTTTTTACACCTACTCCGGAGTCTGACTTTCAAACTAGTCACCAAACAGTCACCGATAATCCCCTAACCTGACTAAATAATCACCCTTTTGTTTTCAAATTCAATACCCTCATTATTTTAATGGTCAAGTAGATTCTTTTAAGAAAGTATAACACATACTCCAAGTATTGAAATGCATGCCATCGTGTTGGGATTCAATATTTCAACATTAATTATGTCATCGTGATCTTGGTGACCTACATCGTGATCTTGGTGTCCACATTGATGGAAACTTAACCTTTTCCACCCATGTGGACACCATTGTTAAAAAAGCGAACCGGCTGCTTGGACTAATGTGGTGAAATTGCAAACTTCTTACACCATCAGCAAAATTTACTCTATATACATCAATAATTACTCCATCCCTTGATTTCTGTTCAGTTATCTACACCTCAATATCTCATACTCATTCCATTAGAATAGACTGGATTCATAACAAATTCATGAAGTTCATTGGCCCAGCTTGCCGGTTCGCTTAATTTTTAAATCGACTAGACGAAAACGAAACGATCTTATTTTTCTATTTAAATGTTTAAACTGTAAGTTTGATTGTAACCTTGTGTCGAATTTTTATTTTCATGTTCCTGTGCGCAGGCTTCGTACCAATCATTTGTTAAAAGTTCCGTACTCTC